CCCTTCACTACCCAAAGGAGTCGCAGAGCAGCTTACAAACTCCTTTCCCTTCCCCTCCCCACAACAGACACCCTGTGAGGGAGGTGGGGCTGAGAGAGCTCTGACAGAAACTGCTCTTTTTCAAGAATAGCTCTGACAGAACTATGGCTTGACCAAGGTCATCCAGCAGGTGCAAGTGGAGGAGTGGGGAATCAAACCCGGTTCTCCCAGACTAGAGTCCGCCCACTTAACCACTACACCAAACTGGCTCTCCATGAGAGCAACACTCCAGGAACATCTTCTCAGTTGCCACTCACTCTGACCCCACCACCTACCACTGCTGAAAGGGAGGAAGGTTTTTCCCCTCCATCTTGCTGAGGTGGTCAGTGAGTGGAGAGGCTGCCAGGTAGAAGGAAGGAGGGAAAGTTGAAGACTGGGGGCAGATAAAGGTAGATTGGCTGGTGGGTGGGAAGTAGAGTAGGAAGAAGGGAAAGGGGAGAGACTGTGGGGACTTTCAGGGAAAGGAAAGTGGAAATAGAGGGGAAGGGGAATGAGATGTGTCCCCTGAAAATTCTTGAGGGTCCTCTGTTTATCTAACTTTAATTCTTGGCATAATATGAACCCTCAGGAATTTTTTTAACAAGGATGGAGATATATAATATGGAATTATAATATGGAATTATAAAATTGTGGGAGAGACCACCATTATTGGAGATTTTTTCACATCAGATACTTAGGAAATACAGTGCTTTAAATGCAAAAAAACAGCATTTGACTTTATACTGAGCACTTAACACCTACTTGGTAGTTTAATCAATAAAATGTATTCCTCATTAGTAAATCCATAAATTGCTTCTTTAAGTTACATTAGAAAATGGAATAGGGATTTACAGATCAATATTGATTTGGAGGTGGATATGGAATTGTACTGTACCTAAACATCTCTATGCGTTTAAAAGAACATTTCTTTTGTAGCTTTTTTCATTGGTATTTCACTCCAGATAGGTTAGCCACCATATACAGAAATAGAAGGGAACCAGTGATGGCAGGGTAGCTCACTATGGCATATTTTCCACACCTTTTTGGTCACATCCAAACATTTATTCGCTTTGGAAAATTGTGATTCAGTATGTTCATGAAGCGCTGGGTTGTAATATACCCTACTGGGTTATTTCGAAGGTCTCATTGCTTTTTCAGAGCTCATTTATCACTCTGAAAAACTTTTGAACATTTATTGCTGCTAAACTGGCCATAACAGCAAAATGGGAAAAAGTGAATGGTTCTGGTGTGTGTTTAATATTGCAATATTAACTAGATTAACATTATCAAAGGGCTCAGAGAAATAATTTTCTATATTTAGCTAGGTCCGAATGTTGCATATTGTTTATAATGTTGTGGAGTACTAAGGTAAGAGAGAAAGTATTTCCTTACACATTTTATGAGTTTTAATGCCTTTTTGTGTCTTTCTGTAACTGGGAGTAAGAAACATGTTAGGTTATGTATGTTATATTTTGATCTAATAAAAATAAAGTAAAAGATTTAAGATCACTAGGTTCAGAAGCTCCAGAGGGGTTAGCCGTGTTAGTCTGTTGCTGCAAAATAGTAAAAAGTCCAGTAGCACCTTTAAGACTAACAGACTTTATTGTAGCATAAGCTTTCAGGATTTAAAAGTCACAAAAACCTATTCTTCAGTATGCCTCTGAAGAAGTGTGCATCTACTTCTTATACCCAGAATTAAATGCTGTTGGTCTTAAAGGTGCCCCTGGACCCAAACTTTGCTCTTCTGCTTCAGACCAACATGGCTGCACACCTGGATCTATCTGAAGAGGGGTGCATGCACATGATAGCTTATACCCGGAATTAAAGCTTTGTTGGTCTTAATGGTGCCACGGGACTCAGACTTTATTCAAAAACCCTTTCTGCCCCTCTTTCAACGTGGAATAAGAGAAAACAGTACAGCACTTATTTATAGATGGCACTAACTCCAGTGAAGTTACCTAAAATTAAAGGCAGAGACCGATTTCCCACAAGCGCTGCTCCACGCTCGCTCTTCCCTTTTGCCCCGATGGTACGTGTCAATTTCACACAAGCTGCTGCGCGGCCTCGCATTTTGCCCCGCAGCTTTGCATGATTTTTCCTGCGTCTACTCAATCCTGTTTTTTGAGGATTGAGTAGACACGGGGGAAATCACACAAAGCTCTGGGGCAAAATGCGGCCACGCAGCATCTTGTGTGAAATTGACACATACCATCGGGGCAAAAGGGAGGAGCGTGCGTGGAGCAGCACTTGTGGGAAATCGGCAAGAGTCTCTAATATTTTCTGGAGATACAGTGAAAATCTGGATTGCCTTTCATATCTGGGGAACATCCAGATGTGAGCAAATATTGCTAAAATATGCTTAACATTGTATGTGAATGTTGCTTATAAAGTTCCATGTACCCTGATAAAGTTTTATTGGGCCATAGGCAAAAAAGAAAAGTAAATATTTGGTAAGGAATTTCATAGTAGCGGCTAGATTACTTTGTCCCAAAGTTATGCAGGGCTGAGCCTAGAGCATTTCTGATCCTGAAGGAAATTTGGCCGCTCCGGCTCGAATGACATACATGCAAAACTCCTCAGGAGACTCATGATACCTTCGCTCCACACCAGCCGCAGAACTGAGCATCCTGGTCATTAGCCTGGCCGCATTTTGAACAGGATGTGGTTTTTCTCCGGCGACTGGACAGCGGTGGGGGCGCTTCTCTACTAAATGCAGGCTAAAAACAAACAATAGTTACTATGAGAAAAAAGAGAAAACATTTATCTTATCAAGAAAAACCCACAAAAATCCACCTCCATAGGACTGAATGAGCTCAGGAGGATGGCTCAGGCTAGCCTGATCTGGTCAGGTCTTGAAAACTAAGCATGGTCAGCCCTGGTGAGCATCTGGAGGGGAGACCATCAAAGAACTCCAGGAGGGCAGTGGCAAACCACCTGGGTTAGTCTCTTGCCTTGAAAACCCTACAGGGTCACCATAAGTTGACTGTAACTTGACGGCACTTTACACACACACACACACACACACACACACACACAGAGAGAGAGAGAGAGAGAGAGAGAGAGAGAGAGAGAGAGAGAGAACACTTGCATTGAAGATTCCAGAAGGCAATCTTGAATCTGAACCTGATGAAAACTATAGAAACCAGGGGTCATTTCCTGCAGGAGCGCACAGGAGCGGAGCTCCGGCAGTAAAGAGCCCAGGGGTCGGGCACATGCAACAAGCCCCGCCCCCTGCCCCCTGCCCCCGCTTTTTTGTTTGTTTTGTCGTTAAGTCACAGCTGACTTATGGTGACCCTGTAGGGTTTTCAAGGCGAGAGGTGTTCAGAGGTGGCTTGTCACTGCTCGCTTTCTCCTGCCCATGCCGCATGCCCACCTCCCTCCCTCGATGGCTTTCTTCCAGGAATGTGGCCCAGGGCTCCTCTGAGGGCTTCCCACTGCCAGTGCCGTGGTGGTGGGGCTTTGGCGGCCCCCTGTATGGCAGGAAAGGAGGTCCAGGGCGCCTAGGCCATGTGTCTGCCTCCCCCCTGACAGCCTTCTGGGAACGTGGCCCAGGGCTCCTCTGAGGGCCTTCCACAGCCAGTGCCATTGGGGACTTCAGGGGCCCCTTCTATGGCAGGGAAGGAGGTCGGGGGGGGGTCAATCCCAGGCCACATGTCCACCTCTCACCCAGTGCCATGGGGGTGCTGTGAGGGGCCCCTTCCTTCCTTCCCTCTCTCTCCATCTATTTGCTTTCTTTCCACATCTCCTTCCTTCCTTCCTTCCTTTGTTTTTTTTTTTAAATGTAGACTTGCTCACAACTTTAATCCTAGTAGGTCTTTTGGCTCATGAAGTGGAATTTTGGCCCACAAGATTCTGCAGCTTAGAGGGAACATTGCGAGTCCCATCCATATGCTCGCCAGGGCTGACCCTGCTTAGCTTCCCAGATCGGCAAGGTCAGGCTGGCCTGGGCTGTCCAGATCAGGGAGGAGGGTGATAGGGGCTTTCAAAGGGGATAGGTTCCATTGTATTTACCACGGCTATTTGAAAAATAATTCCTAATTGTTTTGTTTGTAGTGCATCCAGCCCACCTCTCCACTGCTGCTGGGTGGCCTTAAATAGGCTAGTCATGGATATTCTCTTTTATCCTTTCTTTTATTACTGTGTTTCAGTTAAACCACTTAACTAGTTTCACTGAAGCTACTGAGGAATCTAAGCATTTCTTACTGGTGCAGCATCTTCTCAAAAATAAGAAACCTATTTTCACTCTAGAGATCATATAAGAGCCAGTTTGGTGTCGTGGGTACCTTAACGAGGGAATCTTATATTCCCCCTGAAACCTGGATCTTTCATTTCCAGAACTTGTACCATGATAATCATACCCCCTCCTTTATGTCCACAGTTTTCAGTGACCTGCCTAGCTGGCCCTCAGTCTCCCCAGCAGAGATCTCAGCACTGATAGGCCAACTTAAAAGAGGAAAGGCCCCCGGCCTTGATGGAATCCCTCCTGAGTTTCTGAAGGAAAATATGAATTGGTGGGCACCCTTCCTAGCACACCTTTTTACCTATATCGATAGAACAGGGAGGGTGCCAAGCGAATGGGGGGAGGCGGTGGTTGTTCCTATCTATAAAAAAGGATGCCTGGATGCCATGAGCTTGGCATTAACCCCTTCAGGTCTAATTCCATCATGCCAAATTAGACAGCACTTTAAGTAGTATTTAGATCTCTCATCCAAACAGTGGGGACTGCAAACTGTATTGCCAGCCAGCTCTGGTGTTTCAAAATGGAACACACAATTTTCAGGTGGTTGAAGAGGAAATCTGAAGCAGCATCCTACCGTTTGTGCTTCAGGAAGCGGGCTCTCACAGATCACACATTGTCTGACATGAACTGGATTTCCTGCACACGCCAAGCATACCACACTTTCCTTCAAAATATAGGAAAAGCAGGTTTCACCACAAATTGTAAAATGAGGATGCCAGGAAATTAGAAGTGAGCAGTGACTCAGGAAAGCTCATCCCCTGTCACAAATTTTGTTAGTCTTTAAGGTGCTACTGGACTGTTGCTCTTTTCTACTGCTACAGACAAACTAACATGGCTACCCAGGGGTCATTTCCTACAGGAGCGGAGCTCTGGCAGTAAGGAGCTCAGGGGGGTGGGCACATGCAACAAGCCCTGCCCCCTGCTCCCAGCAGCCCTCAGTCGGGCCATGAGGAGCAAGAAGCAGCCAGGGAAGTTGCAGAGCCCCCCCCCC